TCATCGACATCAGGTTGTTGTTGAAAACCTTGAGCAACTAATCGGGCTTTATAACACTCCAAAGAACTATCAACTTTTTGTTTGACCTTGTAGACCTAGTGACATCCAACAATATTAGCACCAAGTGGTGGAGGTACAAGTTACCACATATCATTAGCGAGAAAAGCATCAAACTTAGTTGCCATCACTTGTCCCCATTGAGAAAAACTGCTAGCTTCTGAATAAGAATTAGGTCTTCCAAGAAAAACGGAGGGAGACGACAGCAGCAGCATAAAAGCTATTCTTGATTTCAGGCTTAAGATGGTCTGTGCGGCTTCTAGTCAATATTGAATCAGAATGAGGAACAGAAAAACTGGAAGAAGTAGGCTTAAAAGTATTAGAAAGTACTACACTAGTAGTGGTTGGTGATGTCTGAGTGGCAGATTTCATCTTCCTGCGAAAGTAGGTAATAAGAGGTTTCGTTTAGAGACTGTCAATTGTGATGCTGAACATGTTGTTGATGACTGGAGATGACAAATAGCCTCAGGAGTGGAAGAGACCGCGGAATTGAGAGGTGAACCAAAGACACTAGTCGATGATGAGGGTGAGAGAGTAACAGGATCTTTGGCATAGTAAAAATCTTGCTCACAGAATACAACATGCCAGGAAATGATAACCTTTTGAATCGCAACATCAAAGCAACAATAACCTTTGAGACTGTCTGAATATCCAATAAAAACACTTTTTGTAGATCGAGGACTCAATTTATCAGTAGACTGAAAAAATAAGTTTGGGTAACATGTACAGCCAAACACGCGCAAATAATCATATATAGGCTGCTTATTATACAGAAGCTTGAATGGAGTCAAATTTTGAATAAAAGAGGAAGGCAACCTGTTGATAAGATGGACAACAGTCTTAAAAGCTTCTACCCAAAAATTGGGTGGCAGAGAGCCTTGAAAAAGTAGTGCACAGACCATATTGACAACGATTCTGTGCATACATTCAGTCATACCATTCTTTTGTGGAGTATAAAGACATGACTGACAATCTGATATGCATGCCACTGCCTCGAGCAAAAGTCTCAAATTTAGTGTTGACAAATTCAACACCACCATCACATTGAAATTGTTTAATTTTGCACCCAATTTGAGTGCATGCATAATAATAAAGGTTGACAAAAATGTCAGACTAGAGATTTTCTTTGTATAGGAAATACCAGCATGAAGTGAGAGTATTCATCTAGGAATAAAACATAATATCAACAGCCAAAAAATGAAAGAGTACGAGAAGTCCAAATATCTGAATATATTATTGAAAATAATTCATTAACATGAATAGAAGACTCAAGAAAGAGCACGTGAAGTCCAAATATCTGAATGTATTATTGAAAATAATTCATTAACATGAATAGAAGACTCAAGGAAGAGTACGAGAAGTCCAAAAAAAGCCTAATGCTTTGCTTTCCAAAACAAGACTCACAATTAACAGAATTAATTTTAGAAATTATAAAGGGTTAACGAGACAATTTTTAGGTCTAGATAAAACAAAAGAATTGCAATGTCCCAAAGATGATGCCAAAGCTTGAGATTTGACTAAGTAGTGACATAGGATGGATGAATGGAAACAAGAAAAAATAAGATTGAAGCAGGAAGGGAATATAAATTGCCTGCGCACTTAAGAATAAATGTCTAAGTTTGAGGTCCTTGATATAGAAATCAAAAGGATCAAATTCTATTAAAACAAGAGTTATTTTTTATGAAACGTTTTAACAAAAGATGAGATTGGGCAGTAAAGAGAGGGGCACAACAAAACACATTTGTTTTAAGTGGAATTTGTTGAATAAGAACCATTTTTAAC